TTTCCTTGTCCCGGACTTTCCCAGCTGCCTCTTCCCCGGCGTCCCTTTCTCAGCACGTCCGGCCAAGGCAAAAATCAAAACACGGTATCATCAGCCATGCCCTGCCATCAGGGCATCCTGCCTGCCCATGGCCCGACGCCGGATGGCCCAGGCGCGTGCCGGGCGGCGGGGAGGGACACCGATCCTCGAGCGCTTCACGCTGGGAAGGGAAAGGAGTTTGGCTCATCTCTGCGGCCACAAAAACACGCTGGTCACCGAGGCCGCCTGGACCACCTTCCCCATGTGCGAGGCCACAGGAGGGCAGCGGGGAGAGGCTGGGAGGGGGCGGTAGTCCGGACAAATTGTTGGGGGGTTTCGTGCAGGATGGGGCTGCAGGATCACCTCTTTCATGACTTTTTCGTGGCTTGAGGGAGTCTAAACCCCACCAAGGGCAGGTCGTGCATGTGCAAGCAAAGCGAGGGTGACGAGACAGCCACACTTCTGCATCCAGGTGAGGACTTCTAAGGCTCAGAACTAAAGCCAAGAGCTAGGAAAAGTTCTCTCAGCTGCTTCTTCCCATTCCTCCCCAAAATGCTGAGAATTTGCAGAAAATAGTGCTATGCAAATACAGTGGCATTTAGCTGTGGCCTTTTTACATATGCATGTCAGAGAGGAGGTCTCGCTGCTGGACCGGCAGTGGGTGCCTCTTTCCTCAGGAAAGCTGAAAAGCTCCGGCAGGGACTCATGCCTTTTTAATGAAGGATTTTGCAGGTAGGAGCCCCCCCCCCCGCCCCATCTGCTCTTTCATTCGTGCTGGGAAGACTCTCTTTGATAACAAGAGTTAATTGCCGCCAGCCTCCCAGGACGGGCTGTTTGGGGACTTTATGAAAGACTTTGTAAGTAATAGTGAAAGCGGGATATACCAGGGCAAATTAAACAATGCCTTGGCTGCATTAGCAGCACATAAATCAGTGTGTGTAGAATAGAACTAGCTAGTGTCTCATCCCAGAAAGTCCACGTCCCCCTAACCAGGAATGTCTTATGGTACTATATAGCTCTAAGTCCAAAACACCTTGGACATGTTTTGTAAACCAAATCGTCAGACTCATAGTCTCCTGCAAAACCCGAAGGATAGGTTGGCAAGGCGACTTTCCAGGAAACTATGTTTATGGACATTATTTATATGTTTAATCCCTAAATAGTGAATTAATCATTCCCCTATTTTGCTCATGGCGGAGGTCAGGTTAAGCAGTCTGGGGCACTTAGAAAATCCTTTTTAAATCTTGGAATTATTTTTACAATCCTCATATTTTGTAGTGGTCCAAGTTTTGTCAAGAGTTAATACGAGAGGCCCAGCGAGTGCTCCTTGTTGTGGTGTGGCTCCTGCCTGGGAGTCACATTTACCAGTGACCTAAAAGCTTCTTCTCTGGGTAGAAAAGGCCTTGGGATAGATGGCAAACTTTCTTTTCCATCTACATTATCCAAAATGATGGATTCTCCAACTTGGTTTCCAATACAGAACAAGAGCAGCTGCTGAACATTGCAGCCTGTTATGCCAGTGTCTGAATTGCCCATCCCTGCGCTGCAGTCGGTCTTTACCTGACCGCTTATGCTTTCCAATTCAGGTGTTCTGGAAATGCCTCCTTACCGCTGGGACCTGCCTCAGCCAAGCTACCTTAGAGCATCCTTGGCACTTGCCCGTGTTTCTTTTCGAACCTGAATCTTTTATTATTTGCTCTTTATCTTTTCCCATGCCATGATTCTCTATAAAGTGATTTTGTTTTACATTGTACTGCTTCTTTAGCATCTTCTTTGATAGCCTTTTTTGCCTGATGCAAAATTATGCATGTGTTGAACTCTGTGTTTTGAGGATACATCATAGCAAGACTTCAAACAATTCCCTTTGCTAACACAAATCCCTTTGTCTTTGCTAACACAGCCAAATTTCAGCTTTCGCTCTTGTTCAGTTGTGCAGACAGTGGCCTGCAGGTTGGGGAAGCAGGCCCCCGTGAAGGTTTCAGTATACGTATCACTGATTGGCACCATAAGCTGTTTATGCAAAGCAAACGTAATCAGATCATGATCCCCAGTACCAGGCAACTGTTAATTTTTAGGTCAGCGATTAACTCCTTTTGTACAAGGAGGAGGCCACAGGGACCACGCCAAGCGAGCGTCGCGCCTTGGTGCCCTCAAGCGAGCATCGCGCCTTAGTGCTCAGGCCCCTTCACAGGGAGGTTGATGGGACAGGTTGGATGGCCACCGTGATGCTGTCTTCAGCTTTACTAGCTTCAGTATTTTAACCTGGAAGCACTTGTGAATGACCCATCTTTCAGAGGGTGCTGTGAAATGCTTCTTTATTATATAGCACCATGGGCTCCCCTGTCCCTTGTCATCGTAGAAGTTTTTATCATCATCTGTAAAAAAACTGCTAGCATAACTCTTTGTGCGCTTGCACAGTGTGATGGGGATGCGAGATGCTGTTTAAACGGCAAAGAGAGTGATTTCAGTCAAACCCAGAGCAGCACACGGAAAGTCACTGCGTGAGGAAGGGCGGAGACGCCACTGCAGGGGGCTGGAGAGTGGGTTGGGGGAGCAGCTGCCTGGGATGGCGCAGCAAGACCTTGACTGTGGCAGGTGGATGGCATGGCCCCATCTGGCCCCACCGTCTGTGATTCGAAGGGGTCTCCAAATCCTTGTTTCTAATCTCAGCTGCTTACCCAAGGGCTCAGACAACCCTGGGGGTCGTGTTTACCTGCACTCTGTCGGCCTCAGAGCTGGTTTAGCTCTCCGGGGTTGGGAGATGCCCCCTCCTCCCCTTCTCCCTCACTGGACAGGGGCAAAAGGGCTTTGCCCGATCTTTCTCCTCAACCACTGCTCCTCACACAGTTTCTTCATGTAGGAACCCTGTCCTGAAAGCTACTTTGTGCCTGTGGCAGTCCAGGCGCCCCTCAGCGTGCCGTGCCCGCTGCTTGGCAGCTGGAGGCAAGGTGCTGAGCTGCACTGTGGCAGCAAGGCCGGTTGGCGGCCTGGCACCTCCTGCACCGACAGCTCCTGATGCTGCCCACTTTTCCCTTCCCACGCACCGAGCATCTCGCGAGCCTCCCATCGGGGCCGAGAGGAGCTCAGCCCATCTCCTCTGATCGCAGCCTTGATGCCTTCTACTCCTCAGCCTCTCTGGGACCTGGCCAGCCGGGACCTCCAGATTTCCCTGCAAAATCTGCTCAGGGCTTTTCCGCTAGATGGAGTCCGGGGGAAAATATAAACAGCAGCAGTGCTGCACAAGGAAAGGGAGAAAAATTCCCACCTCCTGGAGCAGGATTACCCTCTGGCTAAGAAGCTCAGCTTTAGAAAATGAAATCGAGACAGCGTTCATAGAAGGCATGTCGAGCTCAGCCAAAGCCTAGCTGCTGCAGGCACTAACTGGGGTGTCTCCTGCCCTGAGTGCAAATAAGGGTGACAGCCCTGTGGGCCTCATGCTCTGCCTTGAGTTTGCCATGGAAAAGCAGGCCTAGCTGAGCTCCCGAGAGGTGACTGGCCCTTTTCTCCAACAGCCACGGGGAGATGCTCATTTTCAGCTTTATATATGAGATGCTGATTACACCTCCTGTGCTGTGCAGGTGAGGACCGCTACACCTTGCGTAGGCTTTGCCCTGCAGATGCTCAGGGCTCCCTGCGTGTGGAGAGTGAGTTCAGAACAAGGAAGGGCAATGTGGCTGCTTAATGCTCTGACTTTTGCTTCTCAGAAAAATTTGCTTCTTGGCTGTGGGCTCCCAAAGACCTCAAGCTGCAGCTAGACCAGGCACAGTGGGTGCAGGCCACAGGGTAGTCCCTGTGCAGCTCCTTTCACATCTGCCTCTGCTAAGTTGCCTTCTGCAAATGTCTCTGCCCTGCTCCTTGGCCTTCATAAATGCACACAGCTGCTGCCAAACCCCTGTCCAGTCTGCCAGACCCTGAGCCACGCGATGAGGCCACTGCAAGTACCCCAGCAGCCATGGGCTGCCTCCACGCTGGCTGCAGCAAGCCACCGAGCAGAGCAGTCTTGCTGCAGGTTTGTGGCAGAGCCAGGCCCCCCTCCCCAGCCCCCAGGGCAGAGCCAAGCTCCGACTTGCCCCTTGCTGCTCCCTGGCAGATCTGCAGGCTTTGGTCGGTGCAGCCAGGCTTTCCGCAGCACCGTCAGCGGATGACAGCCGGGGACACAGCCCGGTGCTGCATGCATCATGACAGCACCCATCCAGGCCCAGCCGCGCTCAGCTCAGCTCCAGCCCCACTCGCTGCCCTCCAGCCCTGGTGCCAGCACAGATTATTTGGGGCTCAGCTCAGATGATTGCTCCCCAGAGAGCCACGGGCAGGGCTGATGCACTGGCCCCTCCAACCTCCCCAGGGCCAGGGAAATGTCGCATCTGACAGCTGGACCTGCAACCGTCCCTGTCCCTCGTGCC